AAAATCGCCGAAGTAGGCTGCAGCACCTTCTCGGTTCTGACCCCATATGAGGTCCCAGAAGTGATCTGGGATTGGCATTCGGGGGGCCGAGAAACCCATTTCTCCAGACTGCAGCGTCTGGAAGGAAGGGAAGGATGACGATGGAGCTTCTTGAATCTTGGATGGCTCGGCATCCTCCTTTTTCTCAGCAGAGTCAATTATTATGACCTCTGCTTCTTCTTCAGGTGTGAGGACGAAAGCCTCAACCTCTCTTGCAATGTCAGCCGTGAAACCCTCAGCACTGGGCATCACAGCATCCTCATCTCTGTGCTCAGCAACACTCTCTTGAACTTCCTCTTGGACCCCTCCCTTAAGATCGGGAGTTTTCTGATCCACCTCCATCTAGGGAGGTGGCGGAGGGGTCTTCGGAGGTGATTGAGGTGGCGGTCGGGGAACCCTCGGCGATCCACCGCCTTCCTCAGGTTCCCTTATCTCGATGCCGATGGTCATCGGCCTCCTCTGAAAGTCATGCGGGCCGATGATGGCCATTCTTTGTCGCCTTTTCTGAAGCGGCTGCTCATCCATGTCTCAGTCTTTAGACTCTTCTTGTACCTGGTCTTCGGGACGAGCAGGGGCTTTCCCTTCTCTATGTCTATTACTCTCTTCGGACTGTAAAAGACAGGGGGGAGGAAGAATGTGAGTAAAAAAAAAAAAAAAAAAAAAACAAAACAAAACTAAGTCTAAAAAGCTCACCGAGGTCTTCAGCAAAGCCTCGTCTTCTTCAGCTGCCCTAGCTGCAGCTTCTTCTTCAGCAGCCCTGGAGGACCCTTCTCCTCCTTCACAAGCTTCAATAACCCGTGCAACCTCTTCGGCCGTACGGGCAGCTTCAGCTTCTTCGTCTAACAGCTGAAACCAGGGATCCCTCTTCTTCCACCAAGGCTTCTGCCTCTGATACAGAGCAACAGCCTCAATTTGGAAATGGGAAGAGTCTAGATGAACTTCCCTATGCCTCGATTCAGTGATAGAGGGGGCCCGATCAGTTACAACTCGTTCTCGGTTGACGCCAAGACGAGCGTAGTTAATGCCGACGTTGGTCTCGTCCCGCTCTGAAAAAGAAGAGGAAAAAGGTCAGTTCAGCTAGGTTGGCACAGCAGAAAAGTGCGAAGTGAAAACGGAGGAAAAGAGATAATTAAAAGGCCTCAGCCCCAGCCAAAGAAGCTTACCATCCCTAAACTTTCGGCTGAGGCCGACAGCTGCTAACATGTTATCTTGGAAGACATAATGCGTATCGGGGAGCCAAGTCTCCGGGATATGCTGCATTCGACCGCTGCCTCCCCGGTTCGGCAACTTGCCGAAGATGTTCTGTTGATTAAGGTTCGGATCTGGGCCGTTATCTTCGGGGGGACCTAAACTTCCCATGTTGGGATCAGGCTCAGCAAGATACCTGGGAGCGCTGAAGACGCAAGGGTGGCCCGGGTCCGTGGGCGCCCTAACCCAAATCCATTGACCTCTCCAGTCCTTGTCTGAAGAGTCGTTCGGCCACATGGTTAGGTACTGGGACCGAGACTCAATCCGGTACCACCCAGAACCGTGATTTTCGTGCCCACTTTGAATATTTGGCACTAGCCGATGGAGCTTTTTGAAGCAGTGCAGGTTCGGCACATACCTGAAGAACTTGCAGACCCATAGGTATGTCATCACCCTTCGGATGCTAATGGGAGTTAGCTGACATAGGGAAATATTATAATGGATCAGCAAGTCTCGGACGAATACGTCCAAAGGGAACCTCAGCCCATACTGAAGTTGTCTTGTGTACACCCCCACATACCCCGGGGGTGGACGATGGATTCTATCGGATGCCACGGGCATTCGGCACCAATACCCATCAGCTTCAAGGATGCCGTAATGCAACTCAATCTGCTCGGAAAACCGATATTGTTCAGCATTCTCTACCCACCACGAGTAGGGGCGGTTCTTTATCATGGCCGAAGCTACTTCAGCATCCTCCCACTCCGAAAACCCAGGAAGGATGTCCCAAAGGATAGCGCGAACTTCATCGTCCCACCCAGAAACGCTCGGCCCCTCTGTTCCCTGAGGAGGAGCCGAAGAAATGGGAGTCGCCCTAATCCCTTCAGCAGGGTCAGGCTCTATTCTCTGCCCATTCCAGATCCCAGTCCTGTTCCTAGGATCGGGAATTGGCCTTGCTCTTCTTGGAGCACGGGCCCTACCTCTAACTCCTCTCACCATGGATGAGTTTCGAAGAAAAAAGTCGAAAAAAGGGGAAAGAGTTCAAATTCGAAGAAAAATAAACTAAAATCAAAGGAAATTACCTTAATCTGAAGCGAAAGTTGCCGATTTACGAATTGGTAGTGACGAGTCTCAGTTTCTAAGCTTAATGCTCGGGGAATTTGCGAAGTTTTGACGCGGGTTCTTGGGCTTTCTCGAGAATTCTGGGTTTGTGTTGGTGAATAAGTGAGGAGAGATGACGCGCCTCTAATTATATCTCCAGAAATGGGAATTCTGGGAGTCCGCGCTTCAATTTCTCTTAAACACCCCACTAAGTAACCGTTAAACACACGACCTCGTGATTAAACCGCCCATTATCCGTCCAACTTCCACAATTATTCGCCCAACCGTTGTTATTTCATTAATTACGGTTTAAATCCGAATTCCTTGGATTAATTAAATCATTTACTTCCCTCCTTTTCTGATTAATCCAACCCGACCCGTCATCCTTCCAAATCGGGTCTGGGGGGCAAGTTGTTTGGGTCCAATTTAGTCCAATTGGGCCTAGTCATTAAATGATTCAAAAAAAAGCCTCAAACAATTAATTCTCTTGTATAGCATTCTCTCTCTACACACTGTACTGACTTTAGCATCGGAGGGGCCTCCCTCGGCAACACCCCCGAGGCTAGTTTACGTGCGTTTGTTGTGCAGGAAACCTTCGGCCCAACATCACTTGGACCGAATCCAGTCTTCACCACTTCATCGGACCTTCGACAAGGTCCCATTGTTTTCACCCGAAACACTACCTTTGCTTTTCTTTTTTGGTTCAATTCATTCATCTCAACCTGTATTTATTTCCCTATCTCTTCTTTACTATATATTATACATGTCTCTAAATTGATTGCTTCATTATTGATATATATATATATGTTTCTTTTGTCGATTCCTTCATCACTTTATATATTCATCACAGTGTTAAGATTGAAGCTAACATGCACACATACAACCCTCTAGAAGGTTGTATGATGTGAGTCGATTTTTCACGATTGTGATCGATCATGATTCATTAAAATTACTGGCTATTGTTCATGAAGTAGTATACCAAAATATAAAGAGTTTTGTTCTTTTGATCTTTTTCCTCAGTTGATCCGCATATTCTGTTTATTAAAGTAGTTCCACCACACCATCGACGTCTTCTATGTTAATTTTCTAACACATGTTTCACAAATTTATCTCTTAAAGCACTTTAATTTCACCCTACATCATCCACATCATATCTACTTACGTATAATACTCCTAAAATATTAAAGCCATTACATATTTTTACAAGCATAATTATATTTTCTTGCAAAGAAAAATATATCCGTGATACCAATTAATAAGTATATACTTGTATTAAACATGCGACCTTCATTCCTTAAGTACCAAATTACGACCACTAGATTATAAAAAAGATGATTAATGAGTAATTATCAATAAATTAAAGTTGCGGTCTTTGATACCATGCGTTAGGACGTAAAATTTTGACAAAGCTTACAATATACAAGTACTAAAATGCAGTATGTCTGGCAAAGTAAGTGAAACGACATAAAACTATTATTGGAATATATATAGGGGCAAATAAAGTGTTTGAAGTGTAACTTCCTCAAAGAATTACATATCTTAGCTTATTGATTCTTCTACTTTTAATCTTTTATATCCCTTTTGCCTTCAATATACTTTGGAATCAAGATATTTACCAACATCCCTAGCTCGAGAAATTCTTTCAAAATTTAGTATTGAATTAATAAGCATGAATTTTTGTAAGAAAATTTATTACTACCTCCGTTTTTTATTATGTGCAACAAAGGAATATTTTATATCTCACAAATAATACCCTTTTGTTGCACATAATAAAAACGGAGGTAGTATATTTATTGATAAACATTTCATGAATCCTATTAAACAATACTCCGTATTATCAAAAAAATGAAAACATTCGATGTGTTGATCAATCATCAATATCTTACTCTTAAGAAAAGCTTTAACACACATACACATATAGTTTTATATTTAGATATTAATTGATTACTTAGCTAACTATCCGCTGGAATTCAAAATCTATATCATGAAGTATAGAAAAAAATAAGTAGTGACATCTCGTATGCATGACAATATGAGCATATATACGACGAGATAGCCGAGTAAACTTTGTCTTCAATCAATTATAATTTATAAGTCTACCTTTCATTTAATAATTAGCTTAAGGTATAGCAATACGTAAGCATTTACGTTGTATTCATTATTTCCAAAATTTTAGCAATCAATCAATAGCAATAGACAATAGTGACATTAGTATAAAATTTTGTAGCATGCAAAGAAAAACAAAGCAAGTAAATTTTTATTTAAAAAAAAAGCCTAAAATGAAGGCATCATTTAAAAAAAAAAACAAAATAGTGCAAAAGCTAAGAATCCAAATGATTGATAATAAAATTTAATTATCTAAAAGCTACGGAGCCATATTGGAGCCGAGCCGAGCCATAACCTTCTATAGTTAGTCATAAAATGGCTAATGCTAGCCGTAACAAGCCGCCGAGTTAATACAAATGAAATTTATTGGTAAGCAATTTTCCAAGCTATTTGGCTTCTCACACGAGTAACCTATCATTTTCCGACACGGTTAAAAATTAATGGCCCACTTTACTCGTTCCTTCGTGAGTAAGCTAATTAACCTAAATCACTTTATAAAAAAGCAGATGGTAATTGTGATTTATGACCGGCCCCACTTTAAGTGCCACTTGATTCAAAAGTAATGAACTTATGACCAAATTGCCCTTCATTTCTCCTCACATTGTGGAACCCACGATCAAAACTTTAGCTTTTTGGGGGTGCTTGGCTTGTCCATAAATAATCCTCCCTTACAATTCCTTTCTCCCCTTTTCCTCTTCTTTCGTTCTACCCCCTACCTATAAGCTATTTCTCAGCCATGATGTCCACCGTTCTCCCCTCCGAATCCGTCTTTAGCAATAGTAGTAGTAACCCCTTCAACGGCGGTTTCACCCCGTGGGAGAATCTTGAATCTTTTTTTACTTCCACTCTTTATAAACCTAATGATTCAAATAAACCCAAGTCTAGTAATAAGTCCAACCTAAGTTGTTACCATGCCGGTTTTGGTCTAGGTTCGGAACGTCCTAACCTAAGTTGTTACCATGCCGGATCAGACTTAGGTTCGGAACAACCAAACCTAAGCTGTTACCATGCTGGATCAGACTTAGGTTCGGAATTTCCAAACAAAGTATTGCCTAGCTTTGACAATACAAATCTAGGTAGTTGCCATATTGGTTCAGACTTAGGTTCAGAAAGTCAAAGCACAAACACAACTTGTTTTGACCAACTTAACTTAAGTCAATACCATGCCAATTTTGAAAGCCCAACCCAACAATCACCTCCTTTTGACGAACTTGACCTAGGTCCTTACCATGTTGGTACTGATTTAGGTTCAGAACGTCCAAAAAGATCCCCTAGTTATGAAGAATTGAGCCCTAATCAGGATCAACCAAACCAAAACTCAAACCCTACCAACTCAAGTTCAAGTTCAGGTTCAAGTTATGATGATCCAATCCAAAACCCAAATCGACGTACGTGTCCTGATGATCCAGCCAAGAACAACATCGATGAGCGAAAGCGTAAGCGGATGCTATCAAACCGGGAATCAGCTAGACGGTCCCGGATGCGGAAACAAAAACACCTAGAAAATCTAAGGAACAATGCGAATGAACTTAAAATCCAAACTCGGGAGCGGTCGAACCATCTGCGGTTAATGACCCATCAAATTCAACATGTAAGGAGAGAAAATGAACGGCTCAAAGCCGAATCATTCATACTCCAAAGGAAATTAATGCATCTCAGCAATATTTGGAAACTTCAGCAACTTCAACAACAACAATGTTCGTTCTCAACGACCAGCAACTTAATGCACACGCCCATGCAAATATAAAATCATATAATTAATCAACGTATTATATTTTTTCACTATAACTAAGTACATAAAAAAAAATCCTCGATCATTAAGGCTATGCAGATCATCTATATCGATATATAAATCAATAAATAATATATATAGATATATGATGAATACTTGTACTAATAAATAAAATTGGACAAGGGAGATTAATTATACAAGGCAGCTATATATATATATATTATGAATTAGATGTATGATCGATCTATATATTCTCTCAATCTATGTAGATCATAAGAGATTAGTGTAGTTTTTCGGATGGTCTTATATTATTATTATTATTATTATTTGATTGGGCGGGGTGAGGTTTTTTCTTTGTAACTCCATTGATAGGAAATTTTTTTTCAAGTTTCCTGTTAAAATATGGAATTGTTCTCTTGTAAAGATGAATTAAAGTTGGTGTTTGATTTATAATTAGCAAAAACTTTTGGTCTCGCGTGCTAATGCTTCTTTACTTCATATTCTTAGCTTTATTCAAATACTATACCCACTTGTTACATATCTTTTCGAGTAAAAAATGACCTTCTATCACATACGACTTACTAATTACAAACAAACCGAAAAAATAGATCGTTTATCTATAATCGGATTAATCCAACATCTCTTTTGAAGAGAGGGAAAGGACATTATAGTCCTTCACATATGTGAGGAGCTATATATAAGAGGGATGGAATTGAATATATACGTGAAATTTAATGATCATTAAATTAAAATTAATATATGATGAACTTATAAAGACGACATAAGAAAAAAGTGATGCAGCATGCAATAAAGTGGTAAAATGAAGATTAGGATCCCACCATTGATATGGTCGGTCAGAAAGCAAAGTATCTAAGGCCCAATGATTGGTTGACTACTGTCCCAATTTTATAATTAAAGAATATTGATTACATAATATTCATCCAATTTTTTGTTTACCCCTTCTTTTTACTCCATAATTAACATTATTTGGTGGATATATCAAGTGGTGTTAAAAAAATTGCCCTAATTTTATTTTTAGTTTACTTATGTTTACCTAATTTATTTATTATTAATCATATGGTCACCATAATTTCTCTATACCATATTCCCTACCATACATTTTATTATAAAAGACAAATATAAGAAGTTATGATGTACTTTGATGTGATATAGTTTGACAAGTACACGTATAAATAATACTCCATAAGTAATTGGAATAAACTGAAAAGAATTTATTCTTATTCGATCACTCAATTAATTCAAATCTTTTTTTTCAAAGGAAATTAAATAAAATATTTTAAAGTGAAATAAAAGGGATAATTAATGTTTAAAGGACGAAGAGAGTATTTGAGTTTGTATATGATTATCGAAAATTAGCATTGAATTAGGTAGATGAGGATCATGCATGCCACATTGCTAATAGCCTAATCCTAAGGAAATGGAAGACATAATGTTATTTAGAAATGCAATTGAATACTCCTTAGTAAATTTGAAAACATATTCTGTAAAATATTACTCCGTACACAACTTCGTCAAAAAGGGTCATTCAATCTCAAGTTTGTCAAATAAAAGTATAATCTTAATGAATTGAATTAGGTACTATGCAGCCTTGAATTCTACCCACGTGAGATTTGTATGTAGCACTTTATTATCAGTTAAATTAAACGAAAAAAAAAAATTAGGATTCTATGAACAATCAACTAGAGTAACTATCATGGATAAAATTTTCAACAACCTTTAATTTATCCACAAAATAGTATGCTGCACTTTAAAAGAGGTGATTTTGGTCACGGAAGCAACGGTTTCTCCTAGATAAAGTTGCTAGAGGCCAATTTTCCGGCGGCTATAATGTGCAAGGTTAAAGAGCCTTTTTCATGATATTAATAGTGTTTCAAAGTTCCTTTTTCTAATTTTCTTTTAAAAATCAGCAAAATTTGAATTTTTTTTATAATGAAAGTACTTGTTTGCTATTAATTCGTCTCAACATACAATGTACATTGTCAACAACCCAAAAAAAAAAAAAAAACATACAATGTACTCCCAACTGTTTAGGGCTTTGTGGGGTATTATTTCTTAAAAATTTTAAGGAGTCACTAGCAAGGCAGCAAGACATGATCCGACACAATACAATGTAGTGAGTCTTACATTCTTAATGATGAAAGATTGGCACGAGCTCAATACGATATGACTTGTCCAGTCCAGTTTTATGCACAACCGCTGACCCGGTGATATAATGCTATTTGAAAATACATTGTGTTGTATGTGTTGGAGTATCTGAAACTTGGGCCGGTAGGTGGGCTTTAAGTTAGCACACTAAACAAAATAACAACAATAACGTTGCTAAAGGCCAGGAAACATGAGAAAACACCAGCCCACTTTTAGAATGAGATCAAAAAAAAAAAAAAAAAAAAAAAAAAAAGCAAATAAACACTATTGAACTGCTGAAGTCCAGTCCACTTTCACTTGTTGAACTCACAAGGCCATAACCCTGCATATGGTCAAGCTCAAGCACCACTATCTTTAGAACTGTACGTTAAGCTAATGCACACAATTTAGTGTATACGAAGTACAATTATAAATTAACGGATTGCAATTTGCAAGGCACACATTCATGCCTCGTCCATGATGTCCTCCCAAGGTGGTGTTTCCCTGGCAAACTCTCAAACATATGAACGGAAATCAGCTGAATATGCTCTATAATAACAGCTATACCAAATTACCAACACTGCATTTAAGATAGACAAATGACAATCTCGATTCAAATGTCAACAACAGGATGATCTTCAGAAACTCTATCCATATGTTCGAAACTACAAGCACATACAATTCTGGCATCTACAGGTTTTATATCATTATATGCCTGTATATTTACTGCCTGTTACAAGTAATGTAAAATTTATTGGACAAAAAAGAAAGATTTGACCAGTTCGACATCAATGAATCAGATCACATTTCTCACATCTATTAATCCGAGTGGTGATACATTGAACACTTATCAACCATACTACTCTAGCTAAAAATTTAGCTATGCTAAGGCACTTTCCAGTTTCCACTAACTTTGCTAGGAGTTTTGCTTCAGTTTCTGCAACCGTGACACTTTTAAAGTAATTCTAATGCTTAATCCTGCTTCCATTGCACCGCTTTTGCCAAACAATAGAAAACCATGTAACCTATCTGCCATGCTCAAACCATCATCAGCAAATCCCCTCTTGCTATGTTCGTAATTTGATCATATTTTGCTTCTCAATCATGGAGATAGGAGAATGAATTGTGAAGGCATATTCAGTTTCTTCAGATTTCTCAAAAGGAGACATTCTGCAATACAAAGCATTCTGGACTCCAAAGCTGAACTGTGGGTGGAGGGAATCAGCCCAATTTCTAAACCTACAGGGACAGTGTTTCTTTAAGAAATTCTTAGTCAATCACCATATTACCAATGTCGTCCATACTCTGTTGACTCATGCCTTGTAAGCCTAATGCTATGTACATATGCCTTACCATGTTTGTTGTGGTGCTCCATTTGAAACATTCCACTCTAATAACTCATGCTAAACTTCTAAAAAGTAAAGCAGTGCACTAAGACAGCGATACACAAAAACTGAAGGCTGGTTTTGACACAAAAGAGCTTAGGAGAATCTAATAAATGCAGGATTTCAAACCAGGGACTTCAGAATCATCTATTTTATTCTTGAATAAGTGAGCATAAAAAAAATTAAGTGAGTTGAGGTGGATCAAGCTAGAGTGCTTGCACAATTCAACCACAAACTCCAAGTAGGATTGTCAAATTTAGGCATTTGAGGACAAATATCTGCTCAACCGTTGGAGGCATATTCATAACCCAACCTAGAAATCCAATGACATTAGGATTTGATACCTCGGAGTAAAATTCAAACTCCGCCATATAGAGAGAATTACTCATACATCTTACCAATAGAATGCTATAATTATGAGCATAATAAAGTAATACTGATATTACAGTCTAGTAGATATAATGCACAAATGAGAATCTTATATCAATTGCAAATCAAAAGTAAAAGTTTTACCAAAGTACTACACAAATTTCCAGAGTTAATAGCTCATATATACATCAAGATTTACATCAAGGTCAGTTAAACATGTAGAACACTTGAAAATACTGACAATGATGTTTTGTTACCAAGGTAGAATAAAACATTCATGAACTTGGAAATAATCAAATGAAAAACTTTACAACGTACAATAGAGGCATATGCTATGAGGAATTTCAACTGTCAAGGAAGAGGCTTACTAACTCAAGCAGGCATCAATTGCCAAGGGCCACCCAGTATATGTAAGCACAGTGAGATGCATATAGTAGCAACAATGTAAGATTTTGCCGTAACATATCTTACAACTTGATGACCAGTGTCGATGATAGCACTATTCACAACGCGGACACTTCTTTTCACGCTGGAAAACAACCTCCCAAGCAAAAATTCCAGGAATGATCTCACAGTCTCAAACGTCACTCTGCCAGTAACATCAAGGACAAGTTTTCTATTACTCGGCTCAGCCAAGGTTGAAGACATTGTTGACATCCAACTGCCACTAGATGACTTCCTACTTTGCTTTGAATCATTAAACTTTCCTCGTCCAAGTTCATTCTGTTTAACATTGATCACATTATGGGCATCACCAATCACCGAACATAAAGTCTTTGACACCACATCTGAATTGGAACGTGTCACAACAAACCGAGATACAGAAGAAGAAGAAGAATCAGACCCCACTTTTTCACCAGATTCTGAACTTGTTAGAACCTGGTGAGATGTCTTAACCAAGGTTTCAATCGAACCATTGCATACCGTCACCAACAAATCTCTCACTTGTTTATTATGCTTTGGATTCGTCAATCCAGCAAACAACTCATCATAGGTGTTAATATTCATAGTTTTGTCAAGATAAACCGCAACAGCAGTGCTAACAAACTTCTCTATGCATTCACCAAAGAGATCCCTGCAACGATCACTACACATTGCATCAACCCATTTAGGCAATGGAGCCTCCTTTCCGGAACCACCAGCATTTGTCTTCACACTCGAATTCGATTCTCTACCAGACTCTTCAATTGAATAGAATGCAGTCACCAAATTTCTGGCAAAACTACCAGTAACCACAGAAGCAAACCCTGAGCCAGAATCCGATAACAGCTTATCCATAAATCGGTCATAAAAACCCGAATTTGAATCACCCTTAGTAGTATCATTAGTGGAATATTCTGCCTGACAACCCCTGAAAACCCCCCTTGTCAAAGCAGCAGTAATCCTAACAACAGAATCAGAGAAATCTTCTGATTGAGCTAATTTTGAGATCTGCTTCAAACTATTGGGAATTTCATTAGAATCTGACTGAAGAAATTCCCTTAAATCTTTAGAAAGAATCCCAACAGTCTCAGCAGAATCAGAAACAGCAACAATGATAGAAACAAGGGCACTACATAATTTCACAAATTTCTTCCTTTTTCTAGCAACAGATGGAGAATTATAAACCCTATAAGCACCATACCCAGTTACCCCAAAAGCTGCTAAAAGAAGAACCCACTTCTTCTTCTTACGTGTGAATTCAATACCCTTGTTCACCAATTGCAAATCCATTCAAACAAATCAAAAATAAAAATAGGGTTTCGGGATTATTGTTGATGATTTTTAGCGGATTATTGTTAATTGTGAAATCATCATAATCTGGAAACTGTCAAATTACAACAATTAAGCAAACAAAGAGGGAGAAAAAGGGGTAAAACCTGGAAAGAAAGAGGGAAAATGAGCAGAAATTGCGGTACAAGATTAATGGAAGATTTGCAGAGTCGTCTTGGTGTTGTGTGGAAAAGAAAGCGAAACCTCTCTCAGCTAAACCAAATTTCCCAAACTCGCTCTCACAAAATACACGGAAATAACAATACCCGTAATACGGAGTACTCAATAATAATAAATAATTAATAATAATCCGTGATAATACTTCATCCGTTTTTTTGGTTAAGGCCTTAGGGTTAAGAGTGATAACGAAGAACTTCTTCCGTTATGCAATAATCAATCAATCATAAGACTTTTATTTTATTTTATTTGTCCGTTATATAACAATTGCAATACTCCTTTATTTAGTTAGAGTGTTATATTATATATTAATGTATATATCATATATGTAATATGTAATTAGTTTGTTAACCTTAGGCTTAACCTAGACTCTTTTATAGTAGTAAATTGCACACTTTTCTTAATGATAAGCCACGCCAAATACTTCTCTCATGGTATCAGGCTAGGTTTCCTTCTAAACCCCAATGGTTGATAAGTGATTCATAACTTGCAATTTATAAATAGTTAAAGCTAGTAGCTCACCAATAATGGAGCTACAATCAATGTAGCTTTGATGAAACTACAAAGCTATGCTATGTAGTGTCACAAAGACCAATGTATGTATTGTTCAATATTTTCTTCTTTTTGACAAAGAGAAGGTGGATCGAGAATTTAATTAGATGCATTGAATACCCTTACCCTTTGAGAGAGCCTTTTCCGCTGTAGTGGAAGCCCCATTAGTGAAAGCATCGATTAATTTATTTTTGTGAATTTAATTGATGTAGCTTGTTATTGTCGAACTTATTGCTTAAATTATTGTAGCTTGAGAATAACAATGGTAAGCCAAAACTACATATCTTTAGCTAACCATTATGGATGCTATAAGCATCAATTTTTACAAATTAATTATCTTTCTGCTATCCCCATTTTACAAATATTTAGTAATTTTCTCTCTTACCCACCCTACTTATATATTTTTGTTAGGGGCAGTTTGGTTCGCATGAGGGAATCAGAATGGAATGAATAAAGGGAAAGGAGAAGAATGGAATGAAGATACCCTTTTTTTGCTTTGTTGTTTGTTTTTAAAACAAGGGAATCAATCCACCACCACACCACCACCACCACAACCACCACACCACCGCACAATTCATATGGTTTTCATCATTCCCAGCCACGAAACCCCTCGCCGGCCCTCCCCCTCCCCTCGCCGCCCTTCGCAAACTCTCCCCCACCACTCGCTGGACCCAAAACGACGAATCTCACCCTCGTCGAAAAACCTCCCTTAGGGTTTTCGGAGGTTTTTCGAGGTAGGGGAGGGTCTTTTGGGCGGCGAGGGGAGGGGGTTTTGAGCGGCGCGCGTTTATTAGTGGGCGGCGAGGGGAGGGGAAGGGGCGGCTAGGGTTTTGCGGGGCTGGGGGTGGTTTTTGCGTGGGAGGGGAGGGCGGCGAGGCTTGGGGGAGGGGCGACGGTGGTCGGGGTAGGGGCGGCGGTGGTCAGGCTGGTTTTTCGGTGGTGTTGGTAGGTGTGAAGGTGGTGATGTGGTGGTGTGAAGGTGGGTAGGGAAAGGGAATGGGAAAGTCTAGGGGGGTGGGAAATGGAGTTGGAAGGATTTGGGGTAATGGGGAGGGCAATGGAAATGATTAAAAGTGCTAAACAAACATCAATAAAGGGAATGGGGCCAGTTGATTCCCATTCCCTTACCTAATTATCCTCAACCAAACGGCCCCTTATTTCTATTTCATACTCACATATTTTATTTCAAAAAATTTCTAGAAAAAAAATAAACTTTAGTTAAAAAAAAAAAACTCTGTATAATAATACTTTAAAAATACTGAAAAAATACAATATACATTGTAATATTTTTGTAGGTGGATAATATCTGATGCAGTGATGCTGGTGGATTGCGTCTGAATGTCTGATACAAGATCTGTTTTTTTCTTAAACATATTCGTTTTTTTATTCTTTTTTGTGATTTTATATAATTTTACTTGTATATATTTTATGCGGTGCTGCAAAATCTGGAAATTATGATGATTAAACAATTGATGATGACTTTCCCAAAAGAAAAAAAAATGATAATAATTATACGCCGTTTTTCTTGTTTCACAATTTGTTGGATACTTCATAATTGGATGTATGACATGCATCATGTATGGGTCTGCTGTTTGGACGTTATACTGTTGTTGGCTTCTGTAGTTCTGAGGCACTCTTTTGGGCCTAACCCTGCAAATATTAGCACACATCCAACCCAAACAAGTCACTCCAATTAGTCCTACAAATTGCATATTTTCATGTTTAAATAGTTTTATTCGCCTCTTATATGGTTCTACTGTACTAGTCAGGTGTGCGATCCGGATTGAATCTGAATGTAGTCGAAGCTAAGATACAAGCTCCGGTGAACTGCCTGAGCATCCTAATTAAAAAATGGTTATAGTACTTGTTCACGGAGTATATAAAAGGTTGTATAGTGTCTCGAGTCTCGACTCACAACTTAGCATCAGCACTGTTACTTTATTTACGTCACCTTACATTTATAAGAACCTCCTCTAAAATGTTTTACTTCGTATATTTTAAAATTTACTTTAGAAAGGTGAATAAAAAATCTTAGACACCTTGGCTAGTTCAAACTCTTGTTATAGTATTGTTTTTCTTTCTGGTACGTTAAATCTGTGTATGATGAAAAGTAATACAAATTATGTGTTTTGAGACCAATAGAATAGGAAAATAGGTTGTCACCTAGCTATCCTCAGCTCCTCACGCATCTCACTTACTCTAACTTATAAAGAGTTTAATTAATTCGTTAGCTATAATCATCATACTCGAATTGGTTCAATTATAATTCCAACTAATTATAAGTAACAAGAAGGGATGGATCTCCTAATATAATGTGACCATATTCACATATATAGTATACGAGTCAATAACATGTTGAAAAACTTAATACCTTCTCATTTTTCAACTTTTTCTACATTTACGTACATGACTCCTTTCGTATTTAATTTGCTAAATTCCTGTGCATGCTGTAATTTTGTCTAGATGCTTATAAATTGAGAATAACATTCTAATGTTAAGGCCTACCGCCTATGAATAATACATGCTTAATGAAGCAAATGCTATAACCTATAATTAGATAGAAATCAAGAAAAAAAGACCTCCTAACTTAATTAATTATATTATACGAATATACAAATGTGTGCGTAGTATCAAAATCAAAAGATAAATCGCATAATAGACAATACTCGTACTTCATCTGTGAAATGTGAATAATATATAAGTCAATCATATCAATAACAAACATTATCATTTATGAGAAAAGAATAAAAAACATTAATTTGGAATAACTCAATTTAAGTTTATCTAGAAAATACACAATGTTGTTAAATTTTGCTTTGGCAAGGGGCAATACAGAAACACAGAATGTATCTAAATGTGAATGGCAATTGGCAAATGGATTAATATTTTAATAATATAAATAAAATTAACATAAGTTGTACGGAATAGTATATCTAAAATTTGTGCATTATTTGAATGGTATAAATATTTGAAATATAAATAAATTGCGAAGACTGATTCGTTTGCTTAGTAGCCTCATGTAAACAGCAGCGGTGGCGAGCCGCCGCATAAATATACAGGCTGTAAATGTGGCAATTTGCCACCTGGCATAATTTGTATACGTGGTATATAGCTAAGAGACCATCGCATTTTTTTAAAAAAAATAAAAAAATAATCTATGTTCATATGATTTTCTTCAACTTTACTCAATGGCTTTGCACGTAAGTGAGTCGCAATATTGAGCATAATCACATTTATTTTGCTAATTACGTAATTAGTATCTTTTTAATTTAAGGGACGTAAGATTAATGGATTTGGAAGACTACTCCGTGGTTGAATTCAACATAACTAGTGTATGAAAATCTCTTTTTATTTGAAATCATTTTATTTGAAGAGTATATGTAATCAGATTATGAGAAAGAGTTTTGTTAAGTTATTTAATCATTCCTCCGTGTTAAATTTTGCAATTTTGATTTATTTGCTTTAGTACTCGTTTTTAATGAAATAAGGTGGGTCCCTCGTGATTTGATCAGGCTCTAAAACTCATATATTTCTAATTACATTTTCTTGATCACTGACACTATAACCCTAGGTTTGAAAATTCAGTTATAACCCCTCATTTGTTTAAGTTGTTTACATGTTTGGTTTTTACACGATTTTCTCCCGTAGCTATTCTCAAAAGTTGTTATTTAATAAAATGACGGTCGTTGATAAAAAGATTTCCCTATTTAAATTACAAACAAGAAAAACACCGTGTTATTTTTTTTGTAACTTTAGATTATTTGTGAGATATAAAATATTAAATTGTAAAAAATATAAAACGTTGGTAGTATAAAAGAAACTCAAATGGAAAAAAAGTTGCAATTCATAATGCATGCAATGCCTTGAGAATGGTTTTCTTGAAGATTATCAACACGTGACCAAACAATAGTTTTACAAAAATAATGATGTACAATAGTACAATGAACAAAACATCCTTCAATACAAAATCAAATTAATAGTAGATTCAACAAATGGTGATAGTTAATTTAAAAGTCAAAAACCTTGAAGAAGTTTGATTTAATTTAGTGAAATTATTAATTTTTATGCTATAAGATTGGCCATAATTAGTAACTTTAAAATCTCTTCAAGTTTGTCATGATTGTGTTATCTTTTAGTTGGTTTTTCATTTGTTTAGCTGATCACAACATATGACCGCTTGTAAAAAGAACAATACAACCCTATAATACTAATTGAGTAATCTTTAAAACACTGACAAAGTAATCCCTCTTTAAAACACTGACAAAGTAATCCCTCTTTAAAACACTGACAAAGTAATCCCTAACAAAATAACCTTTTGTAACACTGGTCGAGTTATTCGTGTAGCATTGTCAAGTAACCCCTGCAACACTAGCGGCGTAAGTTATGTGATGACTAGTCACGACGTGTAGCCAGCCACATCCAAAAATTTATTTGTGGTTATCTTTTATTTTAACCAAAAAAAATAATTTCAAATGATTATTAATTTTTTTTAATTTTTACTCTTTTTATTTTTTTAGTTTGACGGAGAAAAACAGAGTAAAAAAAGGGTAAAAACTGTTAGATTCATAGTTGACTAGACTCCCCTTCACTCTCGGAAATCCAATTTCTATGAAAAAAATGGGTGATGGTATATAT